TCATGAGGATCAAGCGGGATTTATTGAGGGCAGAAATATGAAGGACAATGTAAGGCAAGTAATAGATTTATTGGAATATCTTGATAGGAATAAACAGACTCCTGCAGTGCTGGTTTTTTTGGATGCAGAGAAGGCCTTTGATAGAGTGGATTGGAATTTTCTACTAAAGACTTTAAAAAAGATGGACTTTGGGGACCAATTTATACAGGCGATTTCAGCAATTTATCAAGAGCAAAAGGCACAGATTATTATTAATGGAAGTCTGACGACAGAGTTTAAAATTGAAAAAGGAACAAGACAGGGATGTCCGTTATCCCCACTTTTATTTATTTTAACATTGGAAGTCTTGCTAAATACAATACGGGACTCTAAAATTTTGAAAGGCATAATGATAAGGCAAGAGGATTATAGAATAAAGGCATTTGCAGATGATCTGGTTGTTACCCTATCACAACCAATGGAATCAACAATCCTGATGAAGGACATTATACAAGACTATGGTAGAGTTTCAGGTTTTAGACTGAATTCAAAAAAGACTAAAATGATAGTTAAAAATATGACACAAGATCGCAAACATGAGCTTGAAAGGAGGGCAGGTTTTGAAATTGTACCTAAGGTAAAATATCTTGGAGTTCAGGTTGCAGAATCAAACATGAAATTGTTTCAAAATAATTATGAGGTGTTGTGGCGAGAGGTTCAGAAAGACATGGAGACTTGGAAAAAGCTGCAACTGTCTTTACTTGGAAGAATAGCAGCAGTTAAGATGAACATTTTGCCAAGATTTCTGTTTTTGTTTCAAATGATTCCGGTGCTTAAAAGTGATAAACAACTGAAAGTTTGGCAGTCTGGTGTGAATAAGTTTGTCTGGAACGAGAAGAAGCCGAGAGTGAAATTGAAAATTATGCAAGATGTTCCAGAAAGAGGAGGCCTTAAACTCCCAAACCTACAGTTATATTATGATGCAGCAGCTTTAACTTTAACAAGTGATTGGTTTGGAAGTAAAAAGACCGGAATATTGAATGCAGAAAGTTTTGATCTTGAATTTGGATGGCATGCTTATTTATTTTATGACGACAAAGTAGATAAAGTATTTAAAAGTCATATACTTAGAGACTCTTTGATGAGAGTCTGGAAGAAGCACCGATTCAAATGGGATTATAAAATACCGCTATGGCTGGATCTTGGTCATACTTTGTGGAATACAAATATAATGTCACTCGGGGGTTTTTTATATAAAGAGGTTCTTTTTACAGATGCGGGCAGATGGCAGCTGAAGACATTGCAGACACTGTTGGACGAAGGGATTAATTTAACTTGGTTACAATATAATTAATTACAAATGAGATGGAAAGAGGACCAAAAAACTGGTATTATGTTGCATGAGGAAGAATTGGTTAGACATATAAGAGAGAAAGGTCCAATGCATATTAAAAGGCTTTATAATGTTTTGTTAGAAAGAGATTCAGAAACGGAATTAGTTAAAGATTGTATGATTAAGTGGGCACAGAATTTTGAAGAACCAGTGATGCTGGAAACTTGGGAAAAAATTTGGGTTCAGAATATTAAATTTACACAGTCGCAAAACCTGAGAGAAAATTTTTATAAAATGTTTTATAGATGGCATTTAGATCCTAAAAAGTTGTCATGTATGTACCCTAATGTTCAGCCAAAATGTTGGAGATGTGAATGTTTAGATGCTACGTATTATCATGTTTGGTGGACCTGTAGGAAAGTTAGGGCTTTTTGGATAAAAATTTGGTGGGTCATGCAGAATGTTTTGAAGAAAAAAATTCAATTTTCTCCACAGTTGTTTTTATTAGGTATAGTTAAGGGTTTTACACGGGGTGAAATAAAACTGATATTGTATATGATAACAGCAGCAAGATTGTTGATAGGTAAATATTGGAAGAATGAAGCTTTGCCCACTATCGAGGAATGGACTTTGAAGATGGCTAGTTTTGCAGAGATGGCGAAGATTTCAGCATATTTAAAAGACTGTCCACAAGAGACTTATGAATGGGAATGGAAAAGGTGGATAGAATATGTTCAGAACAAATACCAAACTAGAAAGTATCAAATAGCTTTTATTTGAAAATAATGTATTAGAAAAATTTTAATGTAAAGAGACAAAGAGGAAAAATTACACAGGGGGAGGGATGGGTTCAAGCTTATATATCAGTGTTATTAGTTCTGAGTACATAATAGGGAAGTCTGGGGGGGGAGGGTTAGGGAGGGTTAGGGAGGATGGGAAGTTTGGGGAGGGAGGTGGGGGGGGTGAAAAAAGGGGTGAAAATGTAATTGTAAAACTTTTGCAATAAAAAAAAAAAAGATAGATAGAGAGTGTTACATACCTCAGGGAGCCCCCCCCCCACTCCCATGTCAGTGGCCTTGGTCAGAATCTCTTTAAAGCAGGGGTGTCAAACTCGATTTCATTGAGGGCCGCAGCAGAGTTGAATTTGACCTGGGGGAGTGGGGGGGCGTGGTCAGGGTGGGTGTGGCTCAATGTCACTCATGTAATCAAATGCCAGTTTTGCTAGTAATTTGTTTTGCTAGCACTCTGCCAGGGAAAACAGAGCTCGTGCACAGCCCTCCTGAGCTCCGTTTTCACTGGCAGATGCAGCAGGCCAGTCCTTCACTGTTTCCAGGGCGGCCCTGTGGGCCAGATCCAAGGACCCCATGGGCCAGATAAGGCCCATGGGCCTTGAGTTTGACACCTCTGCTTTAAAGCATGTTGTAGATTATAACTGCTCTTGGCCTGGCTCTTACATCCTATTGTTTCCTAAATGCACAGATCTTTTCTCCACAAGATCCACAAAACTATTTTGACCAAATTCTTGTACTAGAAGGAGAATGCCAAGCAAACACCTCTCTTCCTTATTTCCATATTTATGCAAGAGTTAAAGACAGAAATGTATCCAATCTGCATCTGATCTTCTTTTATCTATTCATATATACAAGCACATTAATTAATCTATCCTGACAGAGCCTATACAAAATAATGTTGCTTTGTAGGGGGAATGCAGATTTCATTTCGACCTTGTGCATTTTATGCTGTCATCATTATTTTTCATCTTCTTCAATTATATGGTAGCACATTGGGGCAGGTATAACCAGTTCTGCTTCTTCAATGGATAATGGATGATACGTCTTAAGATATTGAAGATTGTTTGAAATAAAAGAAAAAGATAAAGCTGTTGATCTCGGGAGACCTTTCAGTGTTAACCCTTCTTCACAGTTTAATAAGAATGCCATTTTAAAAAAAATACTGCTCTGATTCTAATTTCTACTTGTAAAACCCACTTTCTTCTTTGCTTCTGTAAATTATGTAGCATTTTAAGTAATGTGATTATCCTTGCCACTGAAAAGTACAGTATAATATTAAATGGAAGAGAAAGTTGGAGACCATATTTTGCCACCTGATGTTTCAAACAGATATGTCTATCACACAGTTAGTGGGCTATTTTATTCATTAATTCAAAAACTCCTTAGAAACTTATATTGGCAAGCAAAGTGAAAAAGATCCTATTACACTACTGTATGACTAGTTCAATGCAGCCCCATTTGGGAATGTATTAATTATTCATTCAATGGAAGATGATACTGCAGGTTTCCCTGAGAATATGATATAGGGTGGTATATAAATATTTTAAATGAATCAAAAATTTAAAAATCAATAACTTGGGTAGGAAATTAGGAAAGAAATAGAAGATTTCAACTAGTACTACTACTAATAATAATGTAGGGAGAATTCTGAATTTATTCGAATAGCTGACTTTGACTAAGGTTCTGCAGTACTTTTATTTTGTTGCAGTACTGATACTCAGTATTAATTTGGGGACGGTATTGTGTAGGAAAGAATTAGCTAATACATTAAGCACAGTAGTGGGTTCCATTTACCTTCGCTACCGGTTCATAATCGGGAGCGTTCATGTGCAGCACTTCTGTGTATGCGCAGAGTGTCCATGATGACGTCCAGGTGGTGGGTGGAGCCTCCCACCGCCACCACTACCAGTTCGTCTGAACCAGGGCAAACTGGTAGAAACCCACCACTGATTAAGCATCCCTTTGAATAGGAATTTAGCCATGTTGGGAATATAATTTCAAAATCAGAAGTGGATAGAAAGGGCCTTCCAAGTGAAAAATTGATTATATTTTCAAACTTTAGAGGAATAGACACAATTTCTAGCTGACAAATATGTTTAAGATACATATCTTATCTGGAAAATACAGCAGTCTCTTATAAAAACAACATTCTGGATGGCGAAGAGCTGCCTTTCCCTCCAAGCTTTGAGATAGGGTGAGAACAGAGTTGGAAGAGAGTGTTGTGGATTGCTTTGGGGAAGTTTAGCTGTGGCACCAGGTTTCTCTACAGATAATCACAACTGAATGTTTTAAGTTAGAAACTGTAGCAGTATTCTTATTAAAACTATTTGAGATAAATTTCTCCTTAACATATTAAATAGAGGATCATATTTACTAAGGTACTAATTGATCTTTAAAGCCTGACCTGACTCAAGAACTGTCTCTGTTGTTACAAACCAGCCATTAACATTTACCCTTTTGAAGGTGTTTCTGTTGTCAGAAGTGCATCTATTTTATAGATGGGTGAAAGCTGTCTTCTGCATTATTCCCAATGCAGGAATTGTTTTCAGGCTACATAATGTGTTATTTTGGGGAGCTGTTTGGCTTCACTCTCTCACCATTTAGAAAATCTGAAAAGAGAAATATCTCCTCTTACTGGTTAGCTGATTTTAGCATTTTGTATATTTTCTAGTGATTTTACAGTATATTTTATTTATGATATTTTTAAATATCTCACACACATCTCTCTCTCTCTCTCTCTCTCTCTCTGTGTGTGTGTGTGTGTGTGTGTGTGTGTGTGTGTGTGTGAGAGAGAGAGAGAGAGAGAGAGAGAGAGAGAGAGAGAGAGAGAGAGAGACAAAGAGACAGAGAGAAGCAAATATAGAATATTTTGTGCTGATCCATCTTTTTTCATTTAGTGTCAAGTTCTGCAAAACATCTGCCTGATGTAACTGTGGAAGTCCCTAGGGAAGCCAAAATCTCCTTTGCCCAAGGTGTTATAAAGAATTTACAAGATATTGATTCTGCATCTTCACAAGATCATATTTCAAAATTAGAAACAACTTTCCATATAGCACGATATCCCTTAACTATTGATATTCAAACTCCATTCGAAGAAAGAGTGGTGCCTCTGACTTTTAAACCATCTATAGGAAAAATCTTTCCATTCAGCAAAATAAAAAATGACACCCACGGAGCCCTTCTTCAAAAAAACGAAGCAGGAGCTGCTGAAAAACTTTCAGACTATAAACTGCAGGTTCAAGTGGATACCACAAGGAATACCTCCTCTCAAGGCAACATGGGCACAAGGCTGGATGCTATTCAACAGAGCCAAACCTCAACCGACCCGTCACCTTATGGGAAATCTCTTGGGATATCAGCTACCCAGACTAATTCTGACCATGGTTCTAAAGCAAAGTATTCGAGACAACCTGTGTGGACCACACCATTGCCGTCGTCTTTCCATTGGAAAACTTCATTGTCTCTTCGTGTAAATCAAGGTAGCCAGGCACAAGGGAGCTCTGCGCAGTCAAGAATTTCAGGAAGGACTGCTTCATTCAGAAAGCCTTATGCCTCAGGTGTAAACCATTTGGTAATTGATTGGAGATCATTTAATAAGCGAGTCAACTGTGCAAAGAAGCCATGTTTCCCTGGTGTGCCCTGTGAATCAACAAAGGCATTCAAATGTGGACCGTGCCCCTACGGATACAGTGGTGATGGAATACGATGTTATGGTAAGAATTTTTTGAGGGGGTGGTAAGAGGGGAGGAGAGATTACTAGCACTGTATAAATCAATTCATTATTAATTATTGGGGGTATTAAGAATATTAACATTACATGTGGGTCCTATTAAACACATGTGGCCTGGTACACCACATGCATTAATAGATTTAAAAATTTATTCCAACACTTGTGGTTGGAAACTATGGGGAAATAAATTACCAGAAGACAATCCAGTGAATAATTCAAGTTTTGATGTCAATCTTCTCAGACTTTTTCATGCTATTCCCATATTAGCAATGAATATATATCTATAATTGATAAATATAAGTAAATTGTATCTTGAGAATGTCAACTAGAATCAAAGATGAAAGATTTTCTTGTAGAATTTTTTTAGTTATACTTATGAAACCTTATTTCCTTTTTTTAACCTTAATGAAAACAGCATTGTTTAAGATGGAGAATGTGAATAGTGTATATAGTTTGTCATATCCACCTACATGATATTAATAAAAAAATATTTACTCTGAAAAAAAAAGTTTAAAAAATGGAACACAACTTTGTATATAAAAAGTGAAATATGCTAGTTCTGTTACTATTATGGTACAAAATATAAAATATATCACCGTCAGGTACTTTGGTTTTTTTTTTTTCCAATCCCATGGATCATGTAATAGTATTACATAATAGTATTACAGTATGAAAGGTGGTACTTGAGACCATCATTGAGGGTAGCAGATTAGGACAAATACATTATACGAGGGAGAAAAAGCTGAATTCTTCAACATTTTAGCTACAGAATTATACAAATTGGCTAGAAATAGAATCTCTTGTCAATTAAAAAAAATATGGCATAAATGAACATAGTACAATGCATCATACTTTTGTATTATACATAGGTAATATGTATGACTTAAAAGAAAAAAACTTTGCTTTTGAATTCTATCAGTAATACTCTGAAGAGAGAATTACTCTATCATTTAAAGAGCTATACATGACTTCAGGGCACATAATCACAGTGCATATTTCTGAGGGAGAATATTAAATTGGCTGGTTAAATTAAAAAATGAATTAAATGTTTTAAAGGACCACAGTGCTGAAACCTGTTTAATAATTTGGCAAAATGACTCTTTCTTCTGTTGTTAGGGTTAGAGTTTAAATGTTTTCCACATGCTTCAATATTTTCAATTTGCTCATCCAACAAATTTGCCTAAATCTAAATCTATATATTAGGAATATACAGTATATTGATCAATACACACACACACACACATCACTTGCCATGGGAATAATTGGCAGCAATATGGCTGACGTGGCAAATTAATACACCTCAATAACATTTCCTCTTCTTATCATTTTACAAATCTTTTCATATAAAACATGGAAAAGATGTTTTAGAAAATATGGGTTCTACGACCCTCATCGCTACCTGGGATCATTAGAAGGGTAAGATACATGTGAACCATGTTTCTTTATGCATACAGTTATGAATGATGATTATATGAACATGTGACTCCTATGTGGTCTTCAGAGTAAAGAATATTGACCATAAGTTTGGCCTCATCACATCTTACTAATGATGTGATATATGATGAGACCTTTGGGGTTTTTTTTAATCTTCGTTGCCAATTATATCACCTGCTTGTGTGACTGCTGTCTTATTTTGTTTCAACACAGTTTTCTTCATGCCCTTGTTAAGAGTTGTCGGGAAGTTTCACTAAATACTCAATCTTCTTTTTAAAAAGTCATTCTACTCCAAGCTGCTGATTTTCATTTCCATTTGGAAAAAAATGCAGACTTGTTGCAATAGTCAAATCATTTACATCCATTAAGGTGGCTTACCATTTATTTTATAAGATCTCTGATGCACTGGGATTTGCCCTTATTTTTCTCTAAGAATAACATACATATAGAATAGGAAACACATTTTAGAACATAGCTTAGAAAATGGCAAGTGTTTCTTGCATTTATTGATTTGAAGAAGTTGGATGTGGTAAGAGACAAAGCAAAAGAAGAGTTGAAAAATCAATCTTGTTAAAAGACGCAGAATGTTGCCACTTAGTCTTGACTCAGATGTGACAAAAGTCATAGTGAAAGCATTTATTCATAGAAACATCCAACATAACTTCAAGGTTCAATTTAACTTCATTTAAATGGTTTTGCTAGGAGCACTGGACATAGATAGGAGAACGGATTATTTTGTTAACTTTATTTGCTGAATCTGACCCCCACAGCAATGCACAGTTAAAATGGGCTTATATTAATTCAACAGTCCCTAAATGCTTCCCTGTGCCTAATTCTGAGCATACTTTAAATGTGTGATTTAGGGTTAGGGTGATTTAGGCGATTTTTATTCCATTTTAGCTCCCGGTGGTCTTCCGGGTGCGCTTCTGTTGGTTATCACCTTTGAAGTGCTCCATGGCATAGGGCCTAGCTATCTTCGAGACCGCCTGCTACTACCGACGACCTCCCATTGACCAGTGCACTCCCACAGAGAGGGCCTCCTTGGGGTGCCATCAGCCAAACAGTGCAGGCTGGTGACCCCCAGGGGGAGGGCCTTCTCTGTGGGGGCACCTACCCTCTGGAATCAGCTGCCCCCAGAGATAAGGAGAATCCAAGACCTCAGTGCCTTCCATCGTGCCCTTAAAACCCATTTTTTCAAGCAAGCCAGGCTGGCTTAAAAGAAATGTTTAAATGTTTTAATTGGTAGTGAGTTTTAATTGGGCCAAATTTATATATCTTTTAATTGTTTTTTTAATATTTGTACTGCATGTTTTTTAATTTTGGCTGTACACCGCCCTGAGTCCTCAGGGAGAAGGGCGGTATAGAAATTTAATAATAATAATAATAATAATAATAATAATAATAATAATAATAATAAATCATCTTGGGTCCCTTTCTTGTGTATATAAATCACTAAAGCATTTTTCCATGCATCAGGTATTTCTTTCTACTTCTGAGGCATCTAGAGCAGGGGTGAAATGCTCCCGGTTCAGACCGGATCGCCCGATCAGGTAGCGATGGAGATGGGTGGTTCAGAGAACTGGTAGCAAAAATCCCTGCCCCACCCCCCCATGCCCAGCTGAGCCGCACAATCATCAGAGGCTTTTTTTTTTACTTTTAAAAGCATTTTTTTCTACAACCTCTGTTATGTACTGACAGATTGGAGCATGCGTGTCAGCCACCGCCAGGCGAGGGCGCTCTTCTGGCGGGAATGAGCAGAGCACTCATTGAATAAGATGCTGACAGCTTGAATATATTAAGAGCTGTCAAAGCCTGACAGTATTGCTTAGTTCCTCAGTTAGTAGTTGTTGTAGAGATCCAGCCGTTGCTGTTAACTTGTTCTAATTAAAGGAATGGTTATGGTTAATTGAATTGGCCTCGTTTATGCCTACCCACCTCAGTATTTATCACTGGCGACGAGGATGGGATCGTGAGGCAGCAAATCGAGCAACTACGTTTCAGCTGTCACTGAGCTATTAACCATACCAGAACGCAGAGTAAGTGCCTCAGGCAACCGTCCAGGCACCATGGCCACCCTAACGATGTTTGCACCCTTTAACCAGACACAGGAGACGTGGGACACTTTCCTAGACAGGTTTGATTGTTTCTTAGCAGCTAATGACTATAAGGCTTTACCGGGTGATCGGAAGCAAGCCGTTTTCCTCAGTGTTTGTGGTCATGAGATGTTTGAGACTGCGAGAGCTCTATTAGCGCCCCTGAGGGTTCAGGACGTACCCTGGGATACTCTGATGGCCAAGTTAAAAGGACATTATGCCCCACTGCCTTCCCGTGTTGCTAGGCATTATGCTTTCCGCCACAGATATCAGGCTGAAGGGGAAACGATTAACCAATACATGGCCGCATTAAGGACAGCCGCCTTGTATTGTGAATTCCGAGACCTAGATGACCTCCTGCTGGATCAATTAATTTGCGGGGTACGGGATCTTAATCTACAACGCCGTCTGTTGGCCAGAATGGACGCCACCTTGCAGTGGGCAATTGATGAGGCCCGTGCATCCGAGCTGTCAGATAAGTCCTCGAATGAAATGCAGAAGACTGCTAGCCCCTCATTAGCGAAACAGGCGTCAGCTGTTCACCATGAAGACATCGACTCAGACCACTCCACAGATGACAAAGGGGTGAGCCGTTTGAAGGCAGCGTCTAAGAAGGATCGGGACCCCGAGAAGCGGAAGGTTCAAAGTTGGTGCGATGGTTGTGGCGGAAACCACAACCGGTCTTCCTGCAGATTCAGGAACGCAGAGTGCAGGCGATGTGGCAGGAAAGGCCACATAGCCAAAGTCTGCCGAGCCGGCCAACCATCCACAGTTAAGCCTAATAGACCATTTCCCCGGGAAGCCCCGCCACAAGTAGACAAGGCCCCAGGGGGGGAGAGTGCTTTACCATCTATCGAGACACGCACAGCCCTGAGGTAGTTGTTGGCCAGGCCAGTGGGGACGTAAAAAGAAAAATTTTCCTCACTTTGTTAATTGAGGGTATTCCATGTAAAATGGAAGTTGACACGGGATCCTCAATGTCCATAGTGTCATGGAGCACCTTTAAACGCCTGTCACCCAAAATTTCAAAACGCCGTTTGTCTCCATGCAATATTAGATTAAGGACTATCAAGGTAACTCCATTCCCATTTTGGGGCACGGATACGTTAGAGTGCAATATAGCAATTTTAGTGGCCGCCTGCAAGTCATCGTTGTCAGCGGCTCCTTGCCCAATCTCCTAGGGTTAGATTGGTTTGATGCCCTGGGTCTGGCCATAACGGGGGTTAATAGGACTAGCGAGGATAAGTTTGCCTCCTTATTTGATGAGTTCACTGACGTATTCAGCGAGGGTCTTGGTACCTACAAAGGTTCCCCTGTATCTTTTAGCCTAGATCCTGGGGTTGCCCCCATCAGGCTCAAACCTAGAAGAGTCCCCCTGGCACTCCTGCCCAAGGTTGATCAGGAACTAGATAGACCAATTAGTCAAGGGGTCCTGGAGCCTGTGGACTACGCTAAA